AGAGAGAGAGAGAGAGAGAAAGAAAGAAAGCAAAATGACGTAATCAAGTAAGGCAATATCACACGGAATGGGGGAAGGGGACAGGGGGGGAGGGCATCTAAATGACATATAATAATAAATTAGAGAAATAAATACAGGTAACTAGCTGGGGCCCTCTTTCGATGAAAGGAATGATCGGTGCATTAACATCAACTGAAAGTCATTGGCCTACACACTCTACTGGAATGGAGCAATACATTTTTAGAGAGAAAAAAATAGAATATCTAGATTTATACTCTAAAAAAAACCCCAAATGCGCCTCGCCAAATATCATTTCCGGCACTTCCGCTGTGAAGGACAGCTACACTGATTTGTTTCGTTTCTCACTGGAATAATCACAAAGGCCAAAGAAGGACGGAATCTTTTTGTCAAATATTTGTCTAAATTCAGGAAATAAATAAAGCAAAAATCGGGCTCCTTCATGGGGACCTATCTATTTTTTTTGCAAGTACTTGTCAACTTTCTACTCTGTAGCTGTTGTAGTTTTATGGGGAAAGTGACACATGTGTTTCTAAGTTGCCAAATACATAATATACTAGCTGGACCCCCTTCCGATGAAAGGAATGATCCGTGCACTAACATCAACTGAAAGTCAATGGCCTACTATATTTACACTCTACTGGAATGGAGCAATAAATCTTGAGAGATGCTAAAAATTAGAAGATCTAGATATAGAGATGTATAGATTGATTCTCTATTTCGCTTTCGTGGTTGTACACTCCAGAATCTCAAACGTGTGGAAAAAATGCGCACCGCAAGTGAACGAAAACCTGACTTGTTTAAAATGACGTTTTAGAAGACGGACTTTCCCAAGATTAGATCTAAACGAAACTAATGAAAAACTGTAAATTAAACTACAGTGACTTCATGCTCCTCAGTATAACTGTGCACCCTTTAAATGATTCTGAACCACCATTAATTTTGTCAAATTCGAAAGTTAAGTGGTTCACACTGGAGAAAGTTAAAAGACTTCAAAACTGTCCAAAACAATGCTGCAGGTTTAGTTTTACGGAAAAGAAAACGAGACTCTGTAAACCTCTTTTACGAACTTTGCATTGGCTTGCTGTTGAGAAAAGGATTGTGTACAAGTTGGCCACCCTATGTCACAAATGTTTGAATGATAATGCACCATTATATGTATCAACTCTTTTAAGACTGTACATTCCAACTCGCAGTTTAAGGTCATCGGGCTGATAAAAAGAAATTTATTTTACCATCTATGAAACTTAAAACGTTGGGTCAAAGGGCATTTGAATACCAAGGCCCCAAGATCTGGAAAGCTTTACCAAGTACTTTAAGAGAAATCAAATCTTTTGATTCATTCAAATGTCAGCTGAAGTCGTTTCTGTTTTTAAATTAATGAGATGAATATTTGGAATAATTTTCTTTAGTCAGAACACAACGTTTTATGTTACTGTTGTACTGTATTGTAAAGCGCTCAGAGCCTGTGTACTTTATTCGGGGTTGAGCGCTATATAAATGTCATTTGTTAATATTATTAATATAGAGAGATGACAAGTAGATCTACATAACGACACGGAAAAATAGACAGAAGAACAGACAGATAGACAGATAGATAGACAAAGAGATAGACAGAGAGATTGACAGATAGACAGACAGATTACAAAGCGAGATATGTGCCAAATTCTTAATTATCGCTCAGAGAATAAAGGGAGAGCGCTGGTATTTACAAAGGGGGATACATATCATGATAAGGAAACTATTAGAAAAAAGAAAATATTTTAAAAGGTAACAACAACAACAGCAACCACCACCATATCCTCACCATTTCTGACAAGGACTTCTTCAAAGATGCAATCTGAAATAATAAACATATACAGCTTAATAAAAAATCTTTAAAAATGTGTCACGACGTGGTAGAATGACCCGCTCGTCATTTTTAGGCATATGGAGTTTTTTGTCTTTCTCAGTGAAAAAAACAATATAGAAGTCCAGATAGATCTACTTGCAATTAAAGGAGGTGGAGTAAACTGTTTTGCTGCGAAATACTTGCAAGAAAATGGCCGCCAAAGTTGGGTAACTTCTACAACTTTAGAGTCCTTGAAAATTTGCATTATATTGTGTGTCATTAATCAATGTTTTTCAGTAAAATTCACATGCATTTTTATATGGACATGAAAGATGTTGAGCCAAAAAAGAAAATTTGGCAAAAATTGCAAAACTGGAGGAAAAATGCCTGTTTCTTCGATTTCATTATTTTGACGAGCGCCTGATTTCGCTACAAATATTTGAAACTTGACTGCTGATTCCACGCGAGTTCTAAGAATAATTTTCGTCATCATTCAGTGCCTTGCCGACTGGCGTGGGAGATCATGGACCTCCACTTCACTCTGTCTTGCGTTTCAGCGATGGTGTCTGTCGTTCTTGCTGTTCCCAGCCATGTTGTCAACTTGTTCAGTATCTTTTCCCTCTGTCTGCCTCTGTCTCTCTTTCTATCAAACTTGCCTGTTGATACAATATTCTCTAACGCTTCCTTTCCGCATTGTGTGTTCAATAAAATTTGTCCATCGCTTTCGTATATTCATCCTAAGCTGTTGCCCGCAATTTGCTTAAACCTGGACTTCTTCTTTGTAATTTGTTTTTCTAGCCGTCCATGTGATTCGCAGCATGGTCTTATGAACCACAACTCTGGTACTAATATTACTAACAGCCAAACGTTGAAGGCTTCCCCAGCTTTTTAACTTCGAAATGTCTAGTTGGGGGTTGAAATGAGAGAAGGTAAACGGAGATAAAGAAATGGCAGCCAATTGAAAAGGCCAAAATGGCAAAAGTCGAAGTCCCCTTGTTTTGATGTCGTTTCGAAAAAAAGACAACGGAAACAGTCCCTCCCCCTCTGCCCCCCCCTCCCCCT